GGCACTGTGGTGCCCACCCCTGGCCACTGTGGCACTGTGGTGCCCACCCCTGGCTAGCATGGCACTGTGGTACCCACCTCTGGCTAGCATGGCACTGTGATACCCACCTCTGGCCAGCATAGCACTGCGGTACCCACCCTGACCACTGGGGCATTGTCAGAGCACATGAGTGTGGGGGTGGCATGGGAGTTGTGGACTCCCCCACACCCCTTGAGGCATGAAGTACCCAGAAAAGGGAACTTCGGGAAGTACCCACAGCCAGTTTCGATCCTGTTCTGAGTCTGAGGGCAGGGAGGGTGTCACCGCCACCCTGGCACCCCAGGCGGGGGTGGCGGGAGCAGCGTTGGTGTGGGTGTGAGTGGGGCCTGCAGGGACAGGTGAGGGACAGGCCAGGCAGAGGACAAACCCTCAGAGCCCATGGGGCAGCACCCACAGGGACAGGCCGTGGCAGGGCTCTGGAGGCTGTCCGGGCCCCACAGGGTGACCCAGGTGCAGAGAGACCTGGGGCAGCGGCCAGTGTGCTCGAGACGCCAATGATCGCAGAGGCCCAAGACAGAGAGTGGTTCTGGAGCAGAGGTGACCAGTAGCGAAGGCAGGCGAGGGGAGCCTGGCATAGCCCAACAGCACAGAGCAGAAGAGCACAGACGAGAACGATGGCGCTGCTGGCAACAGGCACAAGACCAGCTTGGGCACGGACCTCGCAGGATGGGGTGAGAAACATGGGGCAGAGGAAAGCAGGGTGGTGGGGACACCCCAAAGCTTGAGAGACCTGCGGTGGGAGTGAGCTGAGGGCAAAGGGTGTGTCCAGTACCAGGACAGCTGGGAGCAGGCTGGTCAGACCTCAGGGGACCTTGGGCAGGTGGGAACAGATTCCATAGCACCGGAGGACCCTGATACGAGGGGCACAAACTGGATGAGAAGACTGGCGAGATTCAGGTACCCCAAAATATTAGAGAGCTGGGGCAGGATGGAGCAGGCAGCAGAGTTCAGGGTATCCCAATAGCTAAGGGAGTCTGGGGCAGAAGGGAGCAGCCTGGCTGGGCTCAGGGGTACCCCAATAGCTCAGGGGAGCTAGAAGAGGAGGGAGCAGGTTGGCAGGCCTCAGGGGTACCCCAAAAGCTCAGAGTATCTGGGGTAGGATGGAGCTGGCGGGCAGTGCTCAGGGGTACCCCAATAGATCAGGGGGGCTGGGGCAGGAGAGATCAGGGTGGCAGGAACTAGGGGTACTACAATAGCTCAGGGGAGCTAGAAAAGGAGGGAGCAGGTTGGCAGGCCTCAGGGGTACCCCAATACCTCAAGGGAGCTAGAAGAGCAGGGAGCAGGCTGGCAGAGCTCAGGGGTACCCCAATAGCACAGCAGAGCTGGGGTAGGAGGGAACTGCCTGGCAGGGCTCAGAGGTCCCCCAATAGCTCAGGGGAACTGGGGCAAGTGGAAGCTGCCTGGCAGAGCTCAGGGGTACCCCAATAGCTCAGGGGAGCTAGGAGAGGTAGGAGCAGACTGGCAGAGCTCAGGGGTACCCCAATAGCTCAGGGGAGCTAGGAGAGGCGGGAGCAGCCTGGCAGAGCTCTGGGGTACCCCTATAGCTCAGAGGAGCTAGAAGAGATGGGAGCAGCCTGGCAGAGCTCAGGGGTACCCCAATAGCTCAGGGGAGCTAGGAGAGATGGGAGCAGCCTGGCAGGGCTCAGGGGTACCCCAATAGCTCAAGGGAGCTAGGAGAGATGGGAGCAGCCTGGCAGGGCTCAGGGGTACCCCAATAGCTCAGGGGAGCTAGGAGAGGCAGGAGCAGCCTGGCAGAGCTCAGGGGTACCCCAATAGCTCAGGGGAGCTAGGAGAGGCGGGAGCAGCCTGGCAGAGCTCAGGGGTACCCCAATAGCTCAGGGGAGCTAGGAGAGGCGGGAGCAGCCTGGCAGAGCTCAGGGGTACCCCAATAGCTCAGGGGAGCTAGGAGAGATGGGAGCAGCCTGGCAGAGCTCAGGGGTACCCCAATAGCTCAGGGGAGCTAGGAGAGGCAGGAGCAGCCTGGCAGAGCTCAGGGGTACCCCAATAGCTCAGGGGAGCTAGGAGAGATGGGAGCAGCCTGGCAGAGCTCTGGGGTACCCCAATAGCTCAGGGGAGCTAGGAGAGGCGGGAGCAGCCTGGCAGAGCTCTGGGGTACCCCAATAGCTCAGGGGAGCTAGGAGAGGTGGGAGCAGCCTGGCAGAGCTCTGGGGTACCCCAATAGCTCAGAGGAGCTAGAAGAGATGGGAGCAGCCTGGCAGAGCTCAGGGGTACCCCAATAGCTCAGGGGAGCTAGGAGAAACGGGAGCATCCTGGCAGAGCTCAGGGGACCCCAATAGCTCAGGGGAGCTCGAAGAGGCAGGAACAGGTTGGCAGGACTCAGAGGTACCCCAAAAGCTCAGAGTATCTGGGGTAGGATGGAGCTGGCTGGCAGGGCTCAGGGGTACCCCAATAGCTCAGGGGAGCTAGGAGAGGTGGGAGCAGCCTGGCAGGGCTCAGGGGTACCCCAATAGCTCAGGGGAGCTAGGAGAGGTGGGAGCAGCCTGGTAGAGCTCAGGGGTACCCCAATAGCTCCTGGGAGCTAGGAGAGACAGGAGCAGCCTGGCAGGGCTCGGGGGTACCCCAATAGCTCAGGGGAGCTAGGAGAGGTGAGAGTAGCCTGGCAGAGTTTCGGGGTACCCCAATAGCTCAGGGAAGCTAGGAGAGATGGAAGCAGCTTGGCAGGGCTCAGGGGTACCCCAATAGCTCAGAGGAGCTAGGAGAGTTGGGAGCAGCCTGGTAGAGCTCAGGGGTACCCCAATAGCTCCTGGGAGCTAGGAGAGACTGGAGCAGCCTGGCAGGGCTCAGGGGTACCCCAATAGCTCAGGGAAGCTAGGAGAGGTGAGAGCAGCCTGGTAGAGCTCAGGGGTACCCCAATAGCTCCTGGGAGCTAGGAGAGACGGGAGCAGCCTGGCAGGGCTCGGGGGTACCCCAATAGCTCAGGGGAGCTAGGAGAGGTGGGAGCAGCCTGGCAGGGCTCAGGAGTACCCCAATAGCTCAGGGAAGCTAGGAGAGGTGAGAGCAGCCTGGTAGAGCTCAGGGGTACCCCAATAGCTCCTGGGAGCTAGGAGAGACAGGAGCAGCCTGGCAGGGCTCGGGGGTACCCCAATAGCTCAGGGGAGCTAGGAGAGGTGAGAGTAGCCTGGCAGAGTTTCGGGGTACCCCAATAGCTCAGGGAAGCTAGGAGAGATGGAAGCAGCCTGGCAGGGCTCAGGGGTACCCCAATAGCTCAGGGGAGCTAGGAGAGTTGGGAGCAGCCTGGTAGAGCTCAGGGGTACCCCAATAGCTCCTGGGAGCTAGGAGAGACTGGAGCAGCCTGGCAGGGCTCAGGGGTACCCCAATAGCTCAGGGAAGCTAGGAGAGGTGAGAGCAGCCTGGTAGAGCTCAGGGGTACCCCAATAGCTCCTGGGAGCTAGGAGAGACGGGAGCAGCCTGGCAGGGCTCGGGGGTACCCCAATAGCTCAGGGGAGCTAGGAGAGGTGGGAGCAGCCTGGCAGGGCTCAGGAGTACCCCAATAGCTCAGGGAAGCTAGGAGAGGTGAGAGCAGCCTGGTAGAGCTCAGGGGTACCCCAATAGCTCCTGGGAGCTAGGAGAGATGGGAGCAGCCTGGCAGGGCTCGGGGGTACCCCAATAGCTCCGGGGAGCTAGGAGAGGTGGGAGCAGGCTGGCAGAGCTCAGGGGTACCCCAATAGCTCAGGTTTGCTGGGGCAGGATGGAGCAAACTGGCAGTTTTGGGGGTACCCCAATAGCTCAAGGGAGCTAGAAAAGGAGGGAGCAAGCTGGCAGAGCTCGGGGGTACCCCAATAGCTCAGGCGATCTGGGGCAGGAGCGAGCTGGCTGGCAGGGCTTAGGGGTACCACAATAGCTTAGGAGACATTGGGGTAGAATGGAGCTGGCTGGCAGGACTCAGGGGTACCCCATCAGGTAGCTGGGGCAAGAGGGAGCATGCTGGCAGGGCTCAGGGGTACGCTAATATCTCAGGGGAGCAAGGAGAGGAAGGAACAGGCTGGCAGGGCTCTGGGTACCCCAATAGCTCAGGGTGGCTGGGGCAGGAGGGAGCAGGCTGCATTTTCGGGGGTACCCCAATATCTCAGGGGAGTTAGCAGAGGAGGGAATAGGCTGCAGGGCTCAGGGGTACCCCAGTAGCTCAGGGGAGCTGGGGCGGGAAGGAGCAGGCTGGCAGGGCTCAGGGTACCCCAATAGCTCAGAGGAACATGGACTGGAGGGATTACACTATCTACTAAGGGTACTCCAATAGCCCAAGGGAGCACCTCAATAGCTCAGGAGAGCCAGTACCAGATTTGCAGTCATCAGAGGTACCCCAATATCAGGAGAGCTGAATCTGTGAGCAGTCTGATAAGGTTCAAGGTAACCCCACTATATCAGGGCATTAGTTCAGGAGCAAGCAAGCTACCAGAGGTCTTGGGCACCCCAATAGTTCAGGGAGCTGGGCAGGGAGGATGAGACTGCAGCATCGGTGGTCCCCAGTAATCAAGGTGGCTGGACTGAACCGAGCAGCTAGCAAGGTTCACAGAACCCTAATATCTCAGCATGCAGTCTAGCAGAGGTCGGGGGACCCCACTGGCTTAAGGATTCTGGGGCAGGCAGGAGCAGGCTGGCAGGAGTCAAGGAAACCCCAGTAATTCAGGGAGCTGGGCAGGAGGGAGCAGGCTGATTGGGCACCCCAATTATCGTGGAGCTGGGGCTGCACTGAGAAGGTTGGCAGGCAGGGATACCCCATAGCTCAGAGAGCTGGGCAGGAGGGAGCAGGCTGCCGTCTAGGGACTCAGTTTGTGCCGGGGGCACAGATGGAGAGAGCTGAGCGGGGTTTGCAGGGGGGAGGCCCAGGATCCCCGCTCAGGTGCGTTTTGGGTGCGGGGACAGCAGGTTGGCTCTGGACGGGAGGTGTAGACGGTTAGGCTGTCCTGAGGCAGTTGCCCTGGTGGGGGTTGAGGGGTGCAAACATGGTGCAGAGTGAGGACTTGCCAGGGCGGCACAATTCTGGGCTGGCCACGATCCAGGGGGCAGCTGACAGCTCAGGTGCCACCTTACTGTGGACAGCGGGACTCGCGGGCACAGTGGCTGAAGGGCAGTCATGGGATGTGGCCCCAGGGAGCGTCCTGGGTATGCTGGTGCCAGGAGGACGAGGGTGGGGGCACCCAGGGTGCCCACAGCAAGTCAGGGACCCAGGCCGGGGCACTGCAGAAGCCTGGGCTGAGGCCTCCGGGACAGGCGCGAGGAAGGGCATCCCCGCGGGTGGTCCTGGTTTGGGGGGAAGCAAGAGCAGAGGAGGCGGCTTGGCAGAGCCTCAGCAGTCACTCTGAGACAGGGTGGTCTCAGATGAGCCCCTCCCTCACGCCCCCCTCACGCCCCGTCTCTTGCAGCCTCCGTGACGGCCCCGACCGTCTTCCCGCTGTCCGCCTGCAACGGCGCCTCCAGCACCACGGCACTGGGCTGCCTGGTGTCCAGCTACTTCCCCCAGGAGCTGTCGGTGTCCTGGAACTCGGGCGCCCTGCGCACCGGCGTGGTCACCTTCCCGCCAGTGCAGAGCGGAGGGCTCTTCTCGCTCACCAGCCTGGTCACCGTCCCCACCTCCAGCATCTCCAGCCAGACCTACACCTGCAGTGTTGTCCATCCGGCCTCCAAGACCACGGTCAACAAGGTCGTAGGTGAGAAGCCGCGGGCCACGGCGCCCTCCCAACCGGCACAGCCGGACCCTCGGGGGCCCGCACGGGTCTCTGGTCTCAGCCTGCCCCAGTGATGTGCCCTCTGCTCTGCCCACAGACCCGGACCACCACGTCCCAAACCCTTGCCCCGAGTGCCGCCAATGTACAGGTGAGTTTCTTCTACACCTGCCACACGCAGCCACACGTCAGGGCCCACAGCAGTGATGGGCGCTGACTGCCCGCGTCTCCCCCCACAGATGGAGGACCTCTGGTCTACATCTTCCCGCCGAAACCCAAGGACGCCCTCATGATCACGCGCACGCCTGAGGTGACCTGCGTGGTGGTGGACGTGGACCCCAACAACGCAGACATCACCTTCAGCTGGTACGTGGACAACAGGGAGATGCACACAGCCACGACGAGGACGGTGAACGAGCGCTTCAACAGCACCCAGCGCATGGTCAGCACCCTCCCCGTCCTGCACAAGGACTGGCTGCAGGGCAAGGAGATCAAGTGCAAGGTCAGCAGCCCCCTGCTCCCGGCCCCCGTCGAGAAGGTCATCTCCAAGCCAAGAGGTACCGGCCTGGGAACCGGCGGGAGGGTGGGTGGGACGGACGGCGAGCCACTCACCGGGGCTCCACTGACCCTCCTGCTGACCCCCATTCCACAGGGCGCGTCCAGGAGCCGCAGGTGTACATGATGCCCCCACACCGGGAAGAGCTGGCCCAGCAGGGCATGGTCAGCCTCACCTGCCTGGTCAGGGGCTTCCTCCCCGAGGACATCGACGTCGAGTGGCAGAGGAATGGGCAGCCAGAGCCCGAAGGAGTCTACCGCACGACGCCGGCGCAGAAGGACACGGACGGCACCTTCTTCCTCTACAGCAAGCTCACCGTGCCCAAGGCCTCCTGGCAGCGCGGCGACAACTTCGTCTGCTTGGTGATGCACGAGGCGCTGCACAACCACTTCACGCAGCGTTCCATCTCCGTGTCTCAGGGTAAATGAGCGCCTGCCCGCCTCCCTGCCTACCCGGCACAGCCGGAAATAAAGTGCCTGTCTGGGACAAGCGCACGGGCCTGGTTCTTGGTGCATGGGGCTCAGCACGCGGACGGGGCTGGCACACACGGCCGGGCACAGCCCTGGCCGGCGGGGGACAGGCCTCCTTTCATCCCAGAGGGTGGCTGGGCTGACCCCACCCTGGCCCTCTCCTGGGACACCCCTGCCCGCCCTGAGCGCCACGGAGGGGCGGCCAGTACCAACCATCCCCACACTCACCAGCGCCAGCTCGCCCTCCCCCCACAGCACACGCGTGCACACAAACACACGTGCATGCACATCACACAAACACACAGGCACGCACATACAGGCACACAAACACACGTCACCGTACACAAGCACACATCACGCGTGCACACAAACACACATGCATGCACATCACACAAACATACAGGCACACAAACACGTATGTCACTGTACATGAGCACATCATGCACACATGTCCACAAAAGTTGCCCTTACTAGGCCTCAAGCAGGACAGGTCTTGGACATGCATGGAGGCTTACACATATATGCACACATACCTGCTTACATGTGCATGCACATGCAGGTGTTGCACATCTCTGCAGGTGCATACCTGCAGATCTTACACACATACAGACATGAATATATGCACATGTAGATCTTAAAACATGCACACAGCAGCCTCGCACCCTTATACAGATGTGCGTGCACATATGTGCAAGCAAATCTTGCACACTGAGCCCTGCACACCCAAGCCTGGTGCACACGCACAGGCCACAGTGCTCCCTGCCCAGCACTGCCCTGGTGGTGGGAACCACCCCCCTCCAATGCCCAGGGACTGTGCAGCAACTTGTCCACCCATGGCCACACCAGCCAGCTCACTGACCACTCACAGGCCACACCAGCCAGCTCACACTAACCACACATGGGCCACACTGACGACTTCACACTGACCACACACAGGCCACACTGACAAGCTCACACTGACCACACATGGGCCACACCGACGACTTCACACTGACCACACACAGGCCACACTGACAAGCTCACACTGACCACACATGGGCCACACTGACCACTCTCAGGTACACTGATCAGCTCATACTGACCACACATGGGCCACACCAACCACCTCACACTGACCACTTACGAGCCACACTGACCAGTTCACACTGACCACACACAGGTCACACCAACCAGCTCACACTGACCACACTTGGGCCATATCAGCCATCTCACACTGACCAGACATGGACCACACAAACCAGCTCACACTGACCACACTTGGGCCATATCAACCATCTCACACTGACCAGACATGGACCACACAAACCAGCTCACACTGACCACACACAGGCCACACCAACCAGCTCACACTGACCACACACAGGCCACACAAACAGCTCACACTGATCACACACAGACCACGCAAACCAGCTCACACTGACTACACATGGGCCACACTGACCACCTCACACTAACCACACATGGACCACACAAGCCAGCTCAAACTGACCACACACGGACCACACAAACCAGCTCACACTGACCACACACAGGCCACACCAACCAGCTCACACTGACCACACTTGGGCCATATCAACCATCTCACATTGATCAGACATGGACCACACAAACCAGCTCACACTGACCACACACAGGCCACACCAACCAGCTCACACTGACCACACACAGGCCACACAAACAGCTCACACTGATCACACACAGACCACACAAACCAGCTCACACTGACTACACAGGGGCCACACTGACCACCTCACACTGACCACACTTGAACAACACTGACCACTCTCGGGTACTGCTCAGCTCATACTGACCACACACGGGCCACACTAACCACCTCACACTGACCACACATGAGCCACACCAACCAGCTCACACTGACAATACATGGTTCACACCAACCACCTCACACTGACTACACATGGGCCACACCGACCACCTCACACTGACCACTCTCAGATACACTGACCAGTTCATACAGACTACTCTCAGGCCATATCAACCAGTTCTTACTGACCATACATGGATCACACTGATCAGCTCGCACTGACCACATGCAGTCCGCACTGACCACTCACACTGATCACAAATGGGCCACACTAACCACACTCAGGTCACACGGACTGGCTCACACTGATCACACACAGGCCACACTGGCCACCTCACACTGACCACACTCAGGCCACACTGACCACCTCACACTGACCACACATAGGGTATATTGACCAGCTCACACTGACTACACACAAGCCACACTGACCACACTAAGGCCACAATGACCAATTCACACTGACCACACACAGGACACTCCAAACAGCTCACCCTGACACACATGGGCCACACAGACCACCTCACACTGACTACACTCAGGCCACATTGACCACCTCAAACTGACCACACACAGGCCACACTGACCTCCTCACACTGACCACATTTAGGCCACACTGACAACCTCAAACTGACAACACACAGGCCACACTTACCACCTCACACTGACCACACACAGGCCACATTGACCTCCTCACACTGACCACTCTTAGGCCACACTGACCAGCTCACACTGACCACACACAGGCCACACTGACCTCCTCACACTGACCACACTTAGGCCACACTGACCACCTCAAACTGACAACACACAGGCCACACTTACCACCTCACACTGACCACACACAGGCCACATAGACCTCCTCACACTGACCACACTTAGGCCACACTGACCACCTCAAGCTGACCACACACAGGACACACCGAACATCTCACACTGACATACATGAGCCACACAGACCACCTCACACTGACCACACAAAAGCCACACTGACCACACTCAGGCCACATTGACCAGCTTGCACTGACCACACACAGGCCACACCAAACAGCTCATACTGACCACACATGGGCCACACTGACCAGTTCACACTGACCACCTATAGGCTACACTGACCACACACGGGCCACACTGACCAGCTCAAACCACTGTCCTTCCCCAGGGCACTAACCCCTCCCGGACACACTAGGTGACCACACCTCCTATCTCTGGGACCTGCCCCTCCTCCTGTCCAGGGGAAACATATGGGCGCGCCAGACCTTCCCTCCCGGCCAGACCTGGAGGGAGGTGGCTCTGCTGACCCTCCACATGGGAATCGTCCCCAGTACTCTGTCATGCAGGGCTCGGGGTGTTCTGCCGAGAAGTCCCAGGGCAGGAGAGTGGAACAGAAAGAGTCCCCCAGGCAGACCACACTTGGGCCGGCCAGAGGGCTGGGAACTGAGGCCGGGCCAGCAGCCGTCCACCTGCCCAGGGAGGGACTCAGAGCCCAGCACTGACCACCCCTCCCTGTGCAGAGCTGCTGGACAATGAGAGCTGTGCGGAGGCCCAGGACGGGGACCTGGACGGGCTGTGGACCACCCTCTCCATCTTCATCACCCTCTTCCTGCTCAGCGTCTGCTACAGTGCCACAGTCACCCTGTTCAAGGTGGGCACGGCTCCCTGTCCCGGCCATCCTGCCCCGCACTGCTGCCACCTGCCCCCTCTGTCCTCTTGTTCTCCCGACCTTGTCCCCACACCTTCCCTCTGGACCCCCCAGCACAGCCGCCAGGACGGAGGCTTGTGAGGGTCCAGCAGGCTCTCCCACTACCTCTGCAGGTGAAATGGATCTTCTCGTCGGTGGTGGAGCTGAAACGAACCATTGTCCCCGACTACAGGAACATGGTCAGGCAGGGCTCCTAGGGCCACTGCAGGGGACACTCAGGGCTGTCTTGGACTCCAGCCAGAGCCAGACGTCGGCTCAGCCGCTCAGCTTGCTCCGGGCCTGTCCTCTGTCCACCTCACCAGCCCCTGCCCAGGCCACCCTCAACCCACACATCCTGCCCCTCACTGACACCTCCTCGAGAACCGAGTAGACACGCTGGAGGGCACCTGCTGCTCCCAGACACGTGGGGCCACATGGACACGAAGGTGCCTGGGTCACATGGCCTCACCAGGATGCTGGGAGCCAGAGGGTGGTTGCCTACACCCACTGGGGCAGGACTGGCCTCCTGACTGCAGACCAGGCAAGAAGGCCGTCACTCCATCACCCAGCAGCAGAGACACTGGAGAGAGACTGCAGTGGTCACTCGGAGTGTCCACTAGGAGTCTGGCCGGGAGGAGGATGAGCAGAAGCCAGCAAGCCTCCTGGAGGACGGCTGGAAAGCAGGGCAGTGGCGCCCGCGCCCTGAGTCACTCCCAGGGACACTAGGCTGCTGCAGGAGGGGCAGGAAGCGAGCGGCCAGGCAGAGAGGCACGGCTGCAAGCCCGGATGTGGCCACCCACCTCACCAGGGCCACTGTCCCCCGAAACTGAGCCGAAACCTGGAGTGTCCCTCGTCAGAAGACGGTGTGGAGGAGCGTGGACACAGCTGGCATAGGAGACACCATCACACTTGGGAGACTGTCTCCTTTTGAGCTACTGACCCCATTGATTTTTTTACTGTCCCCTCACTGTGCTGTCCCTGTCCCTTCACTGTCCCCACACAGCCCCTCACTGTCCCACTCACTGTCCCTATACTGTCCGACTCTCTGACCCCGAATTGCCCCTCACTGTCCCCTCACTGTGTGCTTTACTTGGCAATAAAACATCTATAAAAACTCCATCCCTCTCAGGACTGCCTTCCTGTGTTGGTTCCTGTGCAGTCACCATGGGGCAGGCACACACGGGCCATGCGTCTTTCAGCCAGGGCCCATTCTGACCTCTGCACACAGGGATCTGCATGTGGGCATCTGCACACAGAAGCCTGCACATAGGAATCTGCACGTGGGATCTGCAAGTGGGGATCTGCACACTGGGATCCGCACACTGGGATCTGCACCCGGGGATCTGCACATGGGCATCTGCACATGGGCATCTGCACACAGAAGCCTGCACATAGGAATCGGCACATGGGATCTGCACATGGGGATCTGCACACAGAAGCCTGCACATAGGAATAT